AAATTTAACAGGAGCTACAAAAATAAAAATGGGACTGAGGAGTTACCATCGACTGCCTAGTCGAACTCAGAAAAATCACGTTCATTGAGAGGCCCGGTGATGACGAGGGTGAAGAAAGCCTCACGCTCCCACAGAGTGGTTTGCATCGAGACCCTCGGAGGCGTCAGGACCGTTCACCCCGTGAATCTCTGAAGGGACTCTTAGTACAGACAAGGCTTTAAGCAAAAAATCTCACATCACAGACATAATTACACTGCAAGTCCACCCCACCACCTTTAGGGAAAGTAGACGATAATATATCCACAGGGCTGGATATTATGCAACCATTTAAGCAATGGCCATAAAGACTAGGAACTAATACAGAAAAAAAAGGAGGAAAAAAAAACATTATGACGGGACAATATAACAAATGCAGACAGCACAATCACATGCAATATGCGACTGTATTATGTTTAAAGAACTGCTGAAAATAAAGACGGGAGAAACACCAGCATGCTTCCACAGCTGCTCTGTACATCGAGTGGGAGACTCTCGAGGTGGAGAGTTTTCTCTTCTTTAATGCTTCTGCACACACTCTCATGGTGAAATACAGGAATACAGAATTTCAGAAAAGCAGTTAAGGAAGGAGGCCTCTTGGGAATTTAATCACCATCCACAGGTTTATTTACAGCAATGCAACTGGCACCAGCAAGGGTGCCCAGATGCTCCGTGAACCCAGCTCAGGCCTGCACTCCGATCGGCGGGCCTCTACGACCCCAGCGGTTAAGTACAAGAAGGTCTGTGAAGAGCCAGGTTAACGGCTGGGAATCCTGATGCTCACGCGGTGAGAAGAAGCCAACAGCTGGCCCAGGACACTGTCCCGAGATGGCAAACCCTGGGCCCCCAGAGTCCTGGAAGGAGTCCATCCTTGCCGGAAACGCCGAGCCATCTCCCCGGGGCCCCAGGCAGACCGCTGCCTCCTCCTCGTGGTCACTAACTACCGGTCACAGGAAACTGGACTGGAAATCTGGACTCCCCACCCTTGGGACACGACGGACCAAGCTCCAGAACGCAAATCTGTGGCCTAACTCCTACTTTCTGAATTTCTTCCAGAGGATGTAAAAATCAAGGCAAGAGCAATGCTAGACCCTAAAAGAAGAGTCTGTAAACCCGGGGCACAGTGGTCAGGGGCTCCGTGTCTTGACTGCCATAAACAAGGGGGCAGACGTCCCTGTGAGATAATCTCATTTCCTTTGGACAAGCTGGGGTTCCCTGGTGGCTCAGATGGTAGAGAATCTACCTGCAATGCAGGAGACCCAGGTTCAATCCCTGAGTCGGGAAGATCCCCTGGAGAAGGGAATGGCACCCCACTCCAGTACTGTTGCCTGGGAGATTCCACGGACGGAGGAGCCTGGAGGGCTACAGCCCACGGAGTCACAGAGAGCCGGATACGACTGAGAGTCATGTCTTCTTCTTGGACAAGTCGAGAAAAGTTCCAGGATTAAAAAAAAAAATCAGTACAGAAAACTCATGTGTATTTCTGTACACTGACGACAAACTATCAGGAAGAGAAATTAAGAAAACAATCCCATTTACAATTGCATCAAAGAGAATAAAATACTTGGGGATAAATTTAATCAAAGAAGGGAAAAATCTGTGCACTGAAAACTGAAAGACACCGATAAATGAAGCTGAAGAAGACACAAAGAAACAGAGAGACACTTCTCATCCATGGACTGAAAGGATGAGTGCGGGGAACACGTCCCTCTTACCCAAAGTAGTCTACAGATTCAAGGCCTTCCCTATCAAAATTCCAAAGGCATTTTTCACAGAAGTAGAAAAACAAACCTAGAATTTGTACGGAACCGCAAAAGACTCCAAATAGCTAAAGCAATCTTGAGCTGGCCGACACTCTAATGCCACTTAGGAAAAAAGGAACACAAACCAGAAAATGCACTTTCATCTCCTGTCTTTCAGGAAACCCGCAGGCATTGGCCCTCCCGGCTGCCCCCTGCTCCACCGGCAGGTCCCCCGGGGTGGGGGGCGGGGGGGCTGCTCCACTCACGGGGAGGGCGGTGTCACCCCACAGATGCTGGGAGAAGCCCCTTACGTGCCATCACGTGCACGGTGGGAACGCAGCCGGGGGCCCCAGGCACACAGGAGGCGCACCCACTCCTGTGCTCTGGGAGGAAGCAAGCAGCTCTGACACGAAGGGCTCCCTCCCAGGGCCCAGGCTCTCTGGGGGCTGGACGGCCGCCGGGCGGCCGCAGCCCCCAAGGCAGCCGGCACCCCGCACCCCGCCGTGTGGGCACGGGGCGCGCCCGGGCGCGCTGGGCCCCTTCTGGGTGGTCTGTGCTGTTTAATCACCTGCTTGCCTCCCTGTGACTAGCGCCCCTCGCTCACGGCTGCGCCACGCCAAGTTCACAGCCTGGGACACAGTAGGTGCTGATCCGTAACCTTTTGTCGGCATGCGTCCCAGGAGGAGGCTCAACTGCCCCGTGAGGGATTAAGGACTTGTGAAAACCTGTATGGGCCCAGGTAATAAACACTCCGGTTTAGGGGAAGGTAATTGCCCGATTGCCATCTGATGATTACTATGTATTTTCATTGCCAAAAGATGCAATACAATTTCATGGTTACTTGGGCCTGTAAAATAGAAATACCCCCAATTTTTAAGATATGAAAAAAGGTTTATGACCAGGGTACTGTCAGTTCAACAGTGAGTCCGTGGTACAAATGAGTCAATTCATGGTGAAATTTAATTTCAGGAAAATTAACTCAATAAAGATGCCACAATTGCGCTTAGAGTTTTAATACCTAGCTGTAGCGAAGTGGTGCAGGGCCACAGAGGCCACAGATCCGTTTTCGGCTCCTCAAAACTCGACTGACTTAATACCTGATTTATCCGTAATGGGGACAGTACTGCAGAAAACTTCGTGCTTAACGAGGGGGGGCCAGGATCTCAGCCTAACCCATCACAAGTGAAGAGTGTTCGCAACTCACGGGATATTAAGCTTTGTCTCCTGCGATGTTGCCGAGACATATCTGATAGCACCAGGCTGCCGGCCATTTTAACAACCCCCCCAAATAAACACTTTATGTCCCAGTAAATATTAGTGGCTAGAAATTCTGTGGCCAACAAGTGCCTAGAAAAGTAAAACCAAAAAGGGGAACCTGGGTGCTGTCTATTGACCAGTCATGGTTTCTGAAGCCAACACGATTAGAACATACTCACTGCAAACAAGAGCAAAGTGAAAACCCAGAGCTTCAGAGCCGGAAACAGCCCAGGTTCCCCAGCAGGCGTGAAGCACCAGGGCAGCATCAGGAACACAACTCTGGGCTGCTGTTCTCCGTGACCTGGGAGAAAGCAGCTTGGCGCCCGGGGCTGGCAAGGCAGCAGGCTAAAGTCTCCACCCAGGGGACAAACGCAGTGCCCAGGCCAAGGGCGTGCTTGACGGGGAGGCGGGGCGAGGCTGTTCCAGGCTGCTCAGAGCCCCAGGGTCCCCAGCCCAGCTTCATGGGGTGCCTGCACTGCAAAGAAGCCCGTAGCCTGGGGCCCCCTTTCCCAGCCTCTGCAGGAAGCTCCCCATCTAAGCCCGTGAAGAGCTGACGTCCAGGGCAGGAAGAACCCTGCCTCCCGGAGTTAAGAATAAAACCCAGCCTCTGCGAGGATCCCACTCCGAGTTCACCCAGGGCGCCTGCTCGCCACGAGTGGGGCAGAAAGGCCGTGTGGAAGCCCCGGTGCAGCCTCGGCAAACATCTTCGAATAAATGGAAAGACGCCAGAATAAGCAACGCCACTCTCAAGGGGACAAAGGCGGTTTGTTCCAGAAAACTCAATCTTCTGAAGAAATGAATTTCATCAAAATCGGTGGAGAGGAGGAAATTTCAGAGTACATCGAATCTGTCAGTGACTTTTTAAAATCTTTATCATAAGTAACTGGAAACACAGACGACAGGTGAGTCCTGAGCAGGAGTATTTCCGGCAGATGTGTCTGGAGCTCCCCCGGAGTCAGAGCTTCCCCACCACACCCACCCCCAAACCCAGACAGCACCGCTGCACGGCGGGATGGAGCCCAGGTACAGACGGAGCCCCGGTACAGAGGGAGCCCCGGTACAGAGGGAGCCCAGGTACAGACGGAGCCCAGGCACAGAGGGAGCCCCGGTACAGACGGAGCCCCAGTACAGACGGAGCCCCGGTACAGAGGGAGACCAGGCACAGAGGGAGCCCAGGCACAGAGGGAGCCCCGGTACAGAGGGAGACCAGGTACAGAGGGAGCCCAGGTACAGACGGAGCCCAGGTACAGAGGGAGCCCCGGTACAGAGGGAGCCCAGGTACAGACGGAGCCCAGGCACAGAGGGAGCCCCGGTACAGAGGGAGACCAGGCACAGAGGGAGACCAGGCACAGAGGGAGCCCAGGTACAGACGGAGCCCAGGTACAGACGGAGCCCAGGCACAGAGGGAGCCCCGGTACAGAGGGAGACCAGGCACAGAGGGAGCCCAGGCACAGAGGGAGCCCCGGTACAGACGGAGCCCCGGTACAGACGGAGCCCAGGCACAGAGGGAGACCAGGCACAGACGGAGCCCCGGTACAGACGGAGCCCCGGTACAGACAGATGACAAAAAGCTCTTCTCCCGGTCTTAGCTGATCAGGTGACAAGAAATGGACGTCCAAAAGACCATGTTTCAGTGGAGACAGGCTCTGAAGGCAAAATCAAGTGCAGCAAACAGACCCAGAGCAGAATGTGTCAGGACGTGAGGGGCGGAGGACACGTGTGAGCCCCTTCTGAGGGGGCACACAGGCCGGCCCCTGAAGCAAGGGAGGACATGGGGCCCGGCCCTCGTGGGAACACACACGGCCAGCACTGGAGGGGAGGACATGGCCGGCCCCCGGGGGGAGGAGGACACGGGGCCGGCCCTCGTGGGGACTCACATGGCCAGCACTGGGGAGGACATGGCCGGCCCCTGCAGGGAGGGAGGACACGGGGCCGGCCCTGGGGGAGGCGCCCTGCGGCCCTCACCTGGTAGGTGTCCCAGAGACGCACGGCACAGCGCAGGGGCAGCTCCCGCATCAGCAGGTTGTTCATCCAGCGGAAGGCGAACTGCAGGTACCTCACCTCGTGCTGATCCAGGTGTCGGTGAACTTGCTCTGCGGAGACAGACAGGCCCTGCGGGGTCAGCAGAGCCCAGGCGTCTGCCGGCCTCCACCGCACCCCTCCCCTGAGGCCCCCGGCCCGCCCGGAAACCCCCTCCACCCGCCCGAGCGGCCCCCCCCAGAGCAAGGACAGACAGGGCCCTTCTACTCCGAGGGCGGCACCTCCTCCCGCAGGAGCGCGGCGAGCGGCGGGGGCAGCGGTGACCCGACGTGCCCGCGTACTGAGCGGGTGCCCCGTCAGCGGGCCCCGCACCCCACCCCCAGAAGGGGAGCAGGGCCAGCCCGACCCGACGGGTGCGTGCGCCGGTCCAAGAGGACGGTGGACATGCAGGGACGCGTGGCAGAACTCACACAGAGCTCCATTGCCGTGCGCAGTGAACACTAGGCGGCAGGGGGCAGGGCCAGGCCCCTCGGGCACTCAGGACCTCCACCCCCAGGGCAGTCGGGGCTCGCGGGGTTTTAATAATTGGGAAGTCAGGGCCGACTCCCAGGTGACTGGTCAGGGGTTGTGGCACCCTGGGCGTTGGTTCACGTCCTCTCTTCCCACACAGCAAGGTGGCGGCTCGCCGGCCAAGGAGCCATCGAAGGCCCCCCAGGGTCCCCCCCAGACCTCAGTGCTCACGGAGCAGGACCCCGTTTGAGCCCAGCGACTCACACGGAGCCAGGCCTGGTGCGTGGCGAGCGCCCGGCATGTGTGTGGATGGAGTGGAGCTGGGCTGGAGCCGGACGTGGCTCAGAGGCAGGGGCGGGGCGAGGGCCACGGAGGAGCTGCCCGGGCCCCCCGCCAGGCCCGCTTGCCTGCGGGGCCACTGGCCTCCTTGGCTGAAGCAAAGGGGGACCATTTAGCAGCGGGGAACACAAACAACTCCAATAAGTGCCTGGGAGGCACGTGACACTTTTCTAATGTAAACGGGCGAGCAAACAGATCTGGAAGATTAAACACAGGCTTCCGAAACATCCGGCACTGAAGGAGCCCAACCCAACAGTCAGAACGGTCCCTTCCTCTCCTACGAAGCTCTGCCTGCGTCTGACCCCACCAGGCGCCGGGGAGGCTGCCCCGTCTCAGGCTCGGCTGGAGAAGCTCATCCCAGCCAGGGCGCCAGGACCGACAGCCCGCTGGGCAGCTCCTGCCCACGGCATGCTCGTCTGGGCCCGTGTGAGGCTGGCCAGGGCGCACGCAGCAGCACCGACTCGGGACCGTCCCTCACCGCGTCCTGATCGGGGCCCACAGACCTGCCTGGTGCATCCTGGTGCCAGCACCCTGGGCACAGCCAGGGCGTCTCCAGAACGAGGCCCACGGCGTCAACTCCACAAGGACATGAGCCTAGGTTCCTCATGGATCAGCTCTTTCCAGGACGGATCGGGGGCCTCCACGACCCCGACACCTGTGACACTGAAGCCGCAGAGAAGGCAAGGCCGGCACCCTGTCCTCCAGGAGCTCAGAGGACAGGAAGAGAAGCGCGGCTCCGAGCCCTGCGCCCGTCGGGAGGGGCCTGGCTTCTCTTCTGCACGCCGCCTCCAGCACTCCGGAGAGGAGAGGAGTGGGCAGCCCCGCGACCACCCAGGAGGGACACGAGCTTCAGCCGCGAGGCTCCGCAGGACCTCGGTGGGGGGTCCTCAGGGAGCGCCTGCCTAGCAGCCCGCCCCACCCCGGCCAGGCCACTCTGGCTGACTCGGGACCAAAGGAGCAGCGTGTCAGGACAGCGGCGGGCGTTCTGTGACCACGTGGAGGTGGCCGCTCCTCACTAAAGACCTACTTTCTTTGAGAGCAACGATGAAGACGGATACAGCAGGTCGGGCACTGTCCCCGTCCCCCGCACCTCCCAAGCCCCCAACGCACACAGTGAACATCCAGGGAGGCTGCCTCCTGCTCTGAACGTGCTGAAAAACGGACGCCTAAGCGCGAGCCGTTACTTCCCATTTATATACACTGGTGCCAGTGTATATGCTGGAGTCTTTTTTCCTGTTTTATAACTTACTGTGAGCAGATGCTCTGTCGCGGGTAAAGGTAATTTGCCTAGTGATAACTCTGGACTCGAAACTTCCATGTCACTGGAAATAAGAGGGGTCGTGCGAGGAGTGAGCAGGCAGGCGTGATGACCGTCATGGCTCAGGCCCTCCCGCAGCAGGCCAGGCACTCACTGCCACCGGGTCACAGGATGCTGCTCCCGGCACCAGAGCGGGGGGCGTCTGCAGGCCGGGAGCACTGCCCAGACGGCCCATCTCCCTCGGTAAAAACAAACCACACAGACCCACTGCATCCCGAGAGTCACGCCAAGAGGGAACACGCCATGTGTCCCAGGGACTGGGCACAGACGCACACGGTTCACGCGGGTCCAGACACGGCCGAGACTCACCTTCCCAGACAGTGGACCTAGCCGCTCACACTCAGAAACCCGACAAAGAAAACCGCTCACAGGGCTCCCCCCGCCATCCCCCGCCGTCCACCCGCAAGGCTGAGCGCAGACTTAACATCACACTTCTCCTGGGCAAGGCCCGGGGGGGCTTTGATTTGGGGGCAGAGAGCAGTTTTCAATTCTCTAATCAGTTAAAAAGATAAAAAACAAAAACAAGAGCCGCTGACAGTGAACATGGGCCTCTCTGCAGCAGGAGGCCCCCTTCCGGGCTCCCCCAGCCTCCTCTTCGCTGGGCCTGCTGTACAGAAAGAGTGACCGGCTAGAAGACAGCAGGGCCCACGGACAGGCAGAGCCCAGCCGCCCCAGGACCCCCGGCCACAGACTGGGGAGGGGAGGGGGTGCAGCAGGAAGGCACGCGTCGGGCCGGCCCAGCAGCTGCAGGCTCCCGGCCACACGCAGACCTGCCATGACCACCCCCAGGGGCCACCAGGAGGACAGAGGGCCCGCTGGGAGGGGGCCAGGGGGCGGGCAGGCGGGGAGGCAGCGCAGGGCCCAGGAGCCTCGACCCCGCTCCCCAGGCACATGGCGCCCCCGCAGCAAACACCTCACCAGCCCCGCGTCGGGCGGGGAGCGGGCCTGAGTCTGGGCCTCTGGCCTGGGTGCTCCCTCACGGAGATGAGAACCTGGCTGGACGGGAGGAGAGACCTCCAGTTACAGTGTCGGGAGGGCAGGGCTCAGACCCCCGGTCAGCTTCTGGAACGTTCTCCTGGCACGGAGGACTGCACTGTTCCCTGAGTGGTGACGGGGCGTGACTGCAGGTGGAGCTGGGAGCTCGGACCAGCCGGGGAACCCACCCACAGGCGGGCTCACGAGGACCACAGCTCAGATCCACCCCAGGGCCACCTCCACAGAAAGAGCAGGCGCCTCCTCTGCCTTCTTGAGAGGGTTTACTGGGGGGGCGGGAGGACTCTGCCCCCACCCACCCACCTTGAGGCTGCCGCTCCCGTCCTGACTTCCCAAAGATGCGGGTTCTTTACGGGGAGGGAGGTAAAGACACTCATTCTCTCCAGCCACTCATAACCACCTACAAAAACGGCCTCAGGAATCATCTCGAGACCGGCGCTGATGGCCCACACTCAGAGTCTTTCTTCTTAAGGTCTAGGGGAACCGCTCTACCGCTCTGTCTGAAAGTCTCCACTTAGAAGTTAATTAACTGGTCTCGGTTTGGCGATAAACCTGAGTGTCGGTCTCGGGTGGAGCGTCGCAAAGATGTCATCATTAAAGGGCAAAGAAGCTAAATCGCCGAGCGGGACCTCAGGCACTCGCCTCTCATCACCCACCGGGGTGGTCATCATCGCTTCCCGAGTGAACACGCCCCCAACCTGAGCAGCCGAAGGTGGTCCCAGTGTGGCCTGCAGAGCTGGAACCAAGGCCGGGGCGTGTTTCTCTAGCACCAGCACCCACCTGCCTCAAGGCCTTCAAGGGACAGCCCACCCCTCTCCTTCCTGGGGCTGCCAAGTGGGCTGGGTGTTGGTGGCCAGGCCGTCTGAGGGCCTCCCTCTAAACGGAGAGTCTTTTACGATCCGGTGTTAAGTGCAGGCCTGGAAGGAAGAACTCCCGGAGCAACTGTTAACGTTCCATGTCCTTGCACAGGACAGAATGTCCTCGCCGGTCAAAGCCAAAGGACGCTGTGGCTCTGGGCCTTAAAAGGCCCCTCGAGTCCTGCCGGGGAGTTGAGTGTGGTCCCACCTGCCGACCGCCAGACCCAAAGCCCTCCCAGGACCCAGCCAGCCCCAACACGGGAGGAGAGCTGGCTCCTGATTATAGGAAAATAAATCTCTCTCTACCAGCTCAGGCGGGACATCTAAAAACAAGCTTCAATTGGGAGGAAAACACAAAGGGCTGGGGAGGCAAGGAGACCCAGAGAGGACGGAGGAGAGGGAACAGAGCCGGGGAAGGCGGGTCCCCAGGTGGCAGCCCAGCCCGGCTTGCCCCAACAACACCCTGGCCCTGGAGGGGTGGGAGGGGCAGCAGGCCTGAGCCTGAGGGCCTGGGCCCACAGAGGGAGCCTCTGGGACTGGGTTCCCGCAACCAAAGCAGGCGGGGCCAGGGGCGGAGGGCAGGGAGCAGGGAGCAGGGATCAGAAGGCAGGGGGCGGAGGGCAGGGAGCAGGGAGCAGGGATCAGAAGGCAGGGGGCGGAGGGCAGGGAGCAGGGAGCAGGGATCAGAAGGCAGGGGGCGGAGGGCAGGGAGCAGGGAGCAGGGATGCTGAGCCTCTGAGCCTTCACGGCAGGCTGGCCCAGGCCCTCCCACACAGAGGAGCACTCAGGCGGGCATCGCCCCCTCCCTGAGTATCTGACGCCCCGGGGGTGCCGGGAAACGCATCCGAGTGGTGGTCCCTGGGGTCAAGGCTCTGGCACAGACAGCGCCGCCTCCACAGCAGCACCAGGGCAGTGAGCGGGAGGAGCCAGCCAGTCCGAGAGGCCTCGGGCCCCAGTGTGGAAGGCCCCGCCTGGCCAGTGGTGGGAGGGCTGGGGTTCACGCTGAGGGGGGACACTTCTCAGGGAGGGTCGGCCCTCTCACAGCAGCCAGGGACTGCCGCTGCCTGCCCTGTACACGCAGCGTTGCTCTGTCCCC